TTCTTTCTCCTACAAACCCCTCACAAATCTTGATTTTCTCTTTGGGATACTCCCCGCCCCATCTCCCCCACATACACATCAAACTCCCTGGCTACTTCATCCTTGTCCTGTCCATCTCCTAGAGGCCCCTTCATGACCCCTCACTTTGTTATGTTGGTACTCCCCCAGCCCTAAAGCATCCTCGTTAGTAGCTCATGCCACATTCTGTGGGAAGGGCTTTTTGGATCCAGACTGTATCATCCATAGGATGACCACATCTCTTCACTGCTCCTCATCATGGCCTCCACTGTCTGCTTAGCACCGTGCCTGATGTGTAGTAAGCAGCCACTACATTTTTGACTGCATAAATTGGAGAACACCAAATTGACCACTCTCCAAGCTAGCATCTGCAGGGGTTTCCCCCTCAGCTATGCATGTGGCCATGTAATTTCCCCATCTGGATACGGCCAGCTTGCCAGTGTCCTTCCTTCAGAAAAGCATTGAGCATCAGTCCAAGTGCTTTAGGTGAGTTGTGACCTGGCTGTATGAAACACATCATCTCTGTCCATTTAGAATTGGGGGGATTTTTTATGCTCAGGAGCAAAATTTCTTGTTCTCTTTTGATTGTGAAATATTTTTGAACTGTGGGCATTTTCAGTTTAGCTCAGAACTGCTTTTTTGCTTTTTCTTTTAAAGGGTGTTAATGAAGTGAATTTAAAGAAATGGTGTTTTGGAAACAGTTATTTAATTTACTCAAGCTGCTAATCTGTCCTCAGGCTTGTTAACTTCTGTCTTACATGAAAATTAATGGTCAGAAATGTGGTTGTCTGAATGGCTCTCTCAATTCTTGTCAACCAGCCTACTAGAGTTTCTTTTCCTGCCCTTTTCAGCAGTGCATTCTGCAAGGAGGCAAGTGTTTCAATGATGTGTGATGTTTGTGTGGAAGGAGGAGGGTTTCTGGGAAGAATTCCTTGATTTTTTTCCTATTTGGGGAGCTAGACAAGGAAGCAATATTTATAGCAAATTATATGCTGGCAGAATAAGGAAGACTTTTTTGACAGGAAAAAGAGAGTAAAAGAAAAAGAAAATGTACGTGTCAAAAAGCAAAAAAAAAAAAAAATGTTGGTAAAAAGTAACAGGGAGAGAGATGATCATTTTCTGGCTGTTATTCACTGATCACTTACTATGTGTTGTATGCTTTAGCCATGATGTTGTTATCTGCATTTTACAGGAGAGGCAGCAGTCTCCCAGTCATAGCTAGTGAGTGGCAGATAGACATTCTTCTCCTGGTCCTTAGGTCTGTCTGGTTCTAAAGCTGAACTATTCTAATCTGATTTAGCAAATAATCTGTCCATGACCTGAAGTTCACAAAGAGTCACTAGAGCACAATGCTAGAGCGTGTATGTAGGCTCTAGAGTCAGCTGACCTGGGTTCAAAACCTGCCTCTACCAAGGTTCTGTCAGCTATCAGCTGTGGTATGTTGGGCAAGTTGCTTTATGTCTCTGTCAGGCTCCAAATCTGTAAAATTGGGATTGGTTGTGGTACTTTCCCCTTAAGATTGTTATGAATTCATTTCATTAATATATAGTAAAATAGAACAGTTTGTGACTTACAGAAAGTACTTTATCAATGTTTGCTGCTGTTACTAGTTTTGATATTGGTGTGTCCCCTGTGAAAGCTCTTTTCTTTGGGAAGATTAAGGAAAATATTCTAGTCCCATTTCATTAATGTGACTTGTCAGGTTTGTCTCAAGGCTTATGCCTTGGGGTTCTTACCGTGTAACCGTATTTCTCATCCCTAACCATCTCCCCTTTAACACACACCAGTCTGCCTCATGTTTGTTCTTTTTCCTTTCTAGAATTATGAGCTAATTCAGACCTCTTTAATATTATTATATTTGCCTTAAATAATAAGTACCTAAAAGATCTAGTAGCATAAGTTAAAATTTACAGTTCAGAGCAACAAGTTTAGAAGATGGTTCCTTTTTCTTGTTTGAAAATAAGGTACTTCCCAACCTCCGTGCAGTTCAGGCCCATGGGCTATGAATGGGTTGTTACATGATGATAAAGAGCTTTGGAGACTTACAATGACTATAGTACTTGTTTCTGTTGTGATCTGGTTTGATTAACTTCCTTTTCCTAGGATATTAGAATTGCTTTTTTAAAAACAACTAATCTTCTAACTTGTTGACGATCTCTTACTCAGTTAAGGAGAAAAGAGAAGTAGAGAAAGGGCCATAGCTGTTACTTTGCAGAGAGATTGAAGCTTATTTTATTTGGAAATTAATTAGAAAAACTGGTATGGAGGTCATGTCTGACTTTCTCTGGCTTCCCAAGAGGGAATCAAACTCAAAATCAGTCCAAGGCTGATTCATATGAGGAAGAAGTCAGACATGCCTCCATCCTTCAACCTTCTTTATCCTATTCTGACACCAACTATCCCTCCCACAGCATTTTTACTTCTCACTGGGTACAATAATCCCTTGCTATGGAGTCCTGGTGTGGCACTGTGGGTTAATGCATCAGACTGCAAAGCCATTTGAACTGCAGGGTCAGCAGTTCAAGCTCACCAGCTGCTCCTTGGAAACCCTATACAGGATCGCTATGGGTCGGAACCGATTCGACGGCACTTCACAACAACAACATGGCCACACAGAACTCATAGACGATACTCATAATTATGGGGTTTATTAGAGAATTAACAGGATACAATTCAGGATCAGATAGAACCATTCACCTGTCAGAAATAGTTCTAATCTGGTGTCCTGCAGGCACAGTCTGTTCTTGTCCTTGATCTCTCAGCCGTGCAGTCCTTTGAACTCTGCCCTGATTGAGCAAGCATCGCAAAACTCCTTTAGCACTGTCTGTAACTACACAAAAGGCGTATTTTACATTTTGCACGCCAGCCTCCTGCCTGTAGGCACCCAGTTACTGGGTCCTTGGGCTGGGAAGGCTGCTGCTCTGTCTCGCCTTGCTGCCGCCTCTGCTGCCTCCATTTGTCCAGGTAGGCATTTCATGCTCCACTCACGCTTGGTCCTTCTTTCTCAATGGTCCTGGAATTATTTGTTCCTGCTACTGAAACGTTGTTGTTATGAAGTGCCGTTGAGTCGGTTCCGACCCATAGTGATCCTGTATAGGGTTTCTGATGAGCAGCTGGTGAGCTTGAATCGCCGACCGTGCAGTTCAAATGGCTCTGCAGTCTGGTGCACTAACCCACAGCACCACATTGTTGTTATTAAGTGCCCTGGAGTCGGTTCCGACTCATAGTGACCCTGTACAGGGTTTCCGAGGCTGTAAATCTTTACGGGAGCAGAAAGCCTCATCTTTCTCCCACGGAACAGTTGGTAGTTTCGAACTGCTGGCCTTGAGGTTCGCAGCCTGATTCGTAACCACTATGCTACCACAGCACCACATAGCTCTTTTTAAACCTAACAGGATGGCGAAACTAACCAATCCCCTTGTAAGAGTCCAATATATCCAATTTGCATGGCCCCACCCAGTCATTGGAGAGGCCTGGTGTGGCGCTGTAGAATAAAGTACTGGACCCCAAGGTCAGTTTGAATCCCAAGGTTGGTTTGAATTGCAAGATCGGCTTTTCAAACCCACCAGCTGTACCTCGGAAACCCAATACTGGGTCACTGGGAGTCAGAACCAACCCCACGGCATTTAACAGCAACAACAAGCCAATCATTTGGAAGCATAGTGGCTCTATAGGATAAGCATTGGACTGTGAGCCCACTATCTGCTCTTCAGAAGAAAAATGAGACTTTCTGCTCCTGCAAAGATTTACAACCTCGGAAACCCTATATACAAGGTTTCTTTGAGTTGGAACCAACTCAATGACCCTTAACAACAACAGCAACAACCCAGTTATTTGGTGGGAGTTGCAAGGACCATGATAGAAGAGTCACAATTTACTGTACCCCATTAATGACGGGTAACAAGAAGACCTATTTAAAATTTCCTTTTGAAAGCTTGGGAGGCAAAGTTTGTTTTTTAAGTAATAGGCTTAACTCACTGATTTTGGCTTTGTTATTTTAATTAGCATAAATCGATTCTTTGTTCAGAACTCACTGAGGAAGTCTTAATGAGTTAATGAAGTATTATAAAATCAATTTAATACTAACCAAGTGTTTTCTCACTGTGTATATTTTATGGGTCTTCTGATTTGTCTACTCTCGCTGATTGGTGCTCATGAACAGTTCTAAAATTTAGGTTATCATAATGCACTGTTGATTAGTACTTTCCAATGATGCCATTTAGTTCATTGCTATTAGTCAGAACCAACTTGACAGCACTTAACAATAACAACAGCATTAAGTTCTTATACAACAACTACTTGCAATACCTTAAAATTTTAGATACACCTGGAAAGTATTCCTCACCTAGGTTATAGCAGAAATTATAAAGTTGCAATCCTCATAGCAAAAGAAATATGGCATTCTAAATTAAAGCTTTGCTGGTACCTGGAATGATGATACTGTGCATAAATAATAGAATATGGCAAGATTTTTGCTTGTTGGTGATATTTGTTTCTATTTTATTTGTCAAATAAGAGTCTTATTTGGATTTAGTTTAATGCTTTTGTTATCCCAAGCTTCTTCTCTACCTATGAGCACAGAACAAGTTTTGGACCATTCCTTCTTGTCACCATCACCACCAAATACCACTTCATCCAGCCCTACAATTTCTATTTCAGTTGCTATTAACTATTTCAAAGCATTTCAAAGCTATGGACTCCTCTTGTTGCCAGGGCAGTTGGTTAACATTGAGAGGGAGGATCTAGCTAACGGGAGACCCAGAAAGTCATCAAGCCTCACAAATTCAGGTAGCTTCACTTTACAACCATCCATGGATTTCTCCAGTTGATTCCTGAACTCATTGCTTTCTCAGATTAACTCTTTCTTCCCCCATCCTTATTTCTGTCCAACAAGTTTTAGTGTCCGATTTTGCAGTTATGGACATACATGCAGCAGTTTGACCTATGAGAATCTATTAATCCTTTCTTTTATTTGTTGGCAGGGGGCTCGTACAAGACAGCCGGAATAACCTCCAGTTGAGGGGGTTGGTGGTGCTCCTTATGTCTAAAGCAGCAGGGCCCAGCAGTGTGGATGCTTCATGTCACAACTATGACATGGTCAGTGGAATCTATTCATGGTAAGTAGATATTTGACTTTGATATTGCTCTCTAAATTGTGTTTTCATTTACTGAACAGTGTTCAGTGAAAATCGCTATGCAGCCTTTTGTCACTCTCTGATTCAAAGATACATCATTATCTTATATGATGTTTTTAAAATGGATTTTTGTTGTTGCTTATAAGTCTGGAAGAAGCCCTGCTATGCATGGGTTAAAGAAGTGAGCTGCTAATCAGAAGATTGATAGTCTGAACCTACCAGCTGCTCTTTGGGAGAAAGATGTGGTAGTCTGCTTCTGTAAAGATATACAGCCTTGGAAACTCTATGTTGTTGTTGTTGTTGTTGCTGTGAAGTGCCATCGAGTCAGTTCTGACCCATAGCAACCCTGTATAGGGTTTCCGAGGAGTAGCTGGTGAGCTTGAACCACCAACCTTGCAGTTCAAACGACTTTGCAGTCTGACGCATTAGCCCACAGTGCCACACCAGGACTCCACAGACTCTATGGGGCAATTCTGTTCTCTCCTACAGGGTCGTATATGAGTCCAGATAGACTCATCAGCAATGGGTTTAGGGTTTTGTTTATCATGCTCCATGCATGACTAGTAAATTTCTTCATAAATTCTTATCAAATACTTTTATTTCTGCCCTGAGCATTTAAAATTTTCTGTTTCTCAGCCCCTACCCCCTCCTCCACTCTCAATTATGGTATCATTGTATCTCTATAGAAAACCTCTGTGAGATAATCCCGAGTTTTGGATTTTTAAACCTACTCAAAATGATAGTTGTATAAATAATAGTGGAACTATCATTTCCTAAGAAGTAATGTATTTCAGTGCTTTGTAAATTACTTTATTTTATTTATGGTTAAGAGGTTTTCTTAAATTAAAATTATTAGAATAAACACATGTTTACATCTCACATATTTAGATGAAAAAGAAATTTATTAGTATGTATTGCTCATTTTTTGCTACATAAAAACAACCTCAAGTATTTCAGTTTTGTTTAAAAATTATGTTGTATGTTTTAATTAGTAGTTGTGTAGCTATAGTTTCATGTAATCCTAGCAGTATGGTTAGTACTGTGTTAAAAGTCTGCACAGAAATAACAATTTACTGGTAGAATTTGGTATGCAGAACATTTTCATTAATAATTATGCCAAAAAACATTGGTAACAAATAATTTTTCCTTTGTTTTTATGTATTTCTAGAAACTCCGACTTATGGCTAATTGACCTTGTTGATTTACATTAAAACCAGTGCACATCTCAAAACATTTTTATTCTGAGTAATCTTTCCTAGAAATGTTGTTTTCATCTGTAATAGTTAGAGAAGGCTGTTGCTCGCCAGCTGTGAAGTCCAGTGAATCTTTCTTATTATCAGTCAGGTAACAACGATGATTTTCATGACTACAAATGACCCCTCCTCCAGCCAGTATAATTTTCAGACCCTTTACCATTTATCCATACCAGTATTTAGACTAGAGGGAATATCTTGAGATCATTTTCAGTTCCTACTCATTCTGGAATAATTTATATTTGTTTATTGCTTTTTATGACTCTAATCTTTTTTTTTTTTTTTTGGAGTTCTGGTATAGCACTGTAGGATAAAGCACTGGACCTCATGCTAGGTTTGAACCGCAGGGTTGGCAGTTGAAACTCAATAGCTGCTCCTTGGAAGCCCTATGCAGGGTCACTATGACTCAGTGGCACTATCAACAATAGCAACAAACCTTTTTTGACATTTGTCTCATTTAACCCTTACAGTAGTTAGTGTTCTACAATAGAGGCTGCCATTTTACTTATTTTACTCTTGAGAACAATCAAGTCTCAAAAACTTAGAGACTTTTTCAAGGTGATGCAGTTGGCAAATGGGGAAAGCTGAAGTTATAACTATAGTTCTCTTTACTTCTTATGCATGTGGTCTTTTCCTTGATTCCTGTCCACTTTGTTATACTTGTAGCTTGACATTTATAGATCAGACTAGCCATTAAATGTGTATACCAAAAAAAGGTCTTGCTTCTTATAAATATGTCATGAAAACTTCTTTAATACATGTGCATCTTCCCCCCAAAGTTTTTTGAATTTGAGCTCAACACAGTTACCTTATGCATGTTGTAGAAAACTTTTGGCTAAATTTAGTTGAAATAACTAAAGAACTGCAATGAATAGCAATAATTTATTAGTCTCTGGAAATGGACCTCATACTACTTTGTAGCCCATGAATCTCTGTGTTTTTCATAGGTTTCAGCTGACTAATTTTTTCTCTGTTTAATTGGTCAGTCACACCACACACACCATAATGAACCCAGCTATGTTTTATTATTCTCTAATCCCAGTCTGTCATCTCTAATCTCATCTATATAAAGAAATTTGGAGGACTGCTACCTGACCAACTAGTTGGAAGAGATCCATATGTGTGTCCATTCCAAAGAGAGGTGGTCTAGCAGAATGTGTAAATCACACATAAGTAAAATTTTGCTGAGAATATTTCAGAAATGATTGCAGCAGAACATTGACAGACAACTGCCAGAAATTCAAGCTGGATCCAGAAGAGGACATGGAGCTAAGGATATCGTTGCAAATGTCAGCTGGATCTTGGCGGAAAGCAGAGAATACTAGAAATACGTTTACTAGTGCTTTATTGACTATGCAAAAAAAGGCTCTTGACTGCGTAGATCCTGACAAACTATGGCTCACACTGTGAAGAATTCCAGACCACTACACTTTGCTCGTGAGGAACCTGTACACAGACAAAAGGCAGTTGTTAGATCAGAATAAGGGAATACTGAATAATTTAAAATGAGGAAAGGTGTGCACCAGGGTTATATCATTTCACCATACTTATTCAGTCTGTATGCTGAGCAAATAATCCTAGAAGCTAGATTGTTTGAAGAAGAACGTCACATTTGAATTGGAGGAAGACTCATTAACAACCTGTGAGATGCAGATGATACAACTTTGCTGGAAACAAATAGGACTTGAAGTACTTAACTGATGAAGATCAAAGACCACAACCTTCAGTATAGACTGTACCTCAATGTAAAGAGAACAAAAATCCTCACAGCTAGATCAATAATAGCATCATGATAAATGGAGATAAGTTTGAAGTTGTTAAAGACTTTTTTTTTTTTTTAATGCTTTATTGTAAATTATGTGATAGTTTACATGGGAGGACATTAGCTTCACATTGATCCCATCGTATGTCGTTACCTTGCCATGGTTACAGTCCCCTCCATGCATCATCCATCAACCAAAGGGTATACCCCACAAGCCTGCCCCCCCGGTCGTCAGCACACAGCCCGTCTCCCTTTCTGGGTCCAAAGTCCCCAGCTGCTCCATCTCTCCACGTCGTCATCTCTGGCATCACTGCTTCTATGCGTAGGGTTCTGTTCTCTGCTCTTCTCCCTTGATGGTCCCAGGGACCTCCGCCCCTAGACTGCAAAGTTAATCACTCCCCTCCCTTTGCCATAAAATGTCTACCTTTACATTTCCAACCCTTACAATCAGTTCTGATAAAAATTATTCACTATTGTATCACAAGGGACCTATCCGCATCTCCTTTCATCCTCCCCACATAGACAGATTTGATACTACTCAGTGGAGACTCTACCTTCCTCCATGCCCTCTGGATCTAGGTTCCCTCTTGAAAGCTTGTAAGCCAGTCACTTCTTGCCTCTGTAGTCCCCCCACCCCCCATTTTGGGTAGCCAGTGTCCAAGTTGCCCCTCCCTGTCCTCTCCGAGTGTGGAGGGGGTGGGAATGAGCCTTACTGTGAGGATTTATTCCCTCTTTTGAGCTGCTGTAAAGACTTCTTTTTGCTTGAATCCACAATCAACCCTCATGAAAGCATCAGTCAAGAAATCACATGATGGACTACATTGTAAAAACTCCTTTATAAAGTGTTAAAGAGTGAAGATATCAGTGTGAGGACTAAGGTGTGCTTGACCTAAGCCATGGCATTTTCAGTTGCCTTATATGTATGTAAAAGCTGGACAATGAATAAGGAAGACTATAGAAGAATTGATGCATTAGAATTGTAGTGCTGGAGAATATTAAAAGTACATTGATAGAAAGATTGTAAGTCCATCTTCAGCCTGTAACTGATTGGAATCCCTAAAATAGGGCTAGAACTGGCCCAGTGAAGGAGGCTTCCTGCGGAGCCTTTGCATTGCTTAAGACCATAGGTGGAATCCTGATCCCCATCCAGAATCTTCTCAGGTGGGAAAGTTACACTTGAAAAGACGAGTAGACCAGCCTAGAGCAGCTAGAAGAACAGAAGATACTTCTTAAAAGAAAGACCAGCAGGAAAAATCAAAAACAATAACAGCAGTCTGATTGACTACTACAAGAACAAGCAAGTTGTTCCCCGAAGAGCCATCAAGGCAAGTGGTCAGGTCCCCTCAAAGCAAACCCCCGTCCAAGACTAAAACTCAAGGGGAATACACAAGCCAAGCAGGCATGTGGTCTTGCTGCTGACCATGTTGGTCACATATAAGGGGAAGTTGGGGAAAAACAGAAGTGAAGTTGTGAGCTAAATCTGACCACATTCAATAGACTCCTATTAACCTGGATTGAGACCTGGTTAGCCAGCAGTATGATGTGACCTAGGGACTCCTGGGCCCAGCCAGGGACAGGGACATGGCCATAGAGGGCTAGAGCTGAGTGTGAAGCATCCAGCTGATATGAAGTCAGGGGATATGCACAAGAACACTGACACTTGAAGATAGTACCCATTTGACCTGGCTTCAATGGCTGGATGATCAGAACTCGACTAGAGAAAGAAAGAAAAGGAAAAAGAGTAATCCACTACAATTTGATGAACTTGACCTATGCTTGTGGATGCAGAGGGCAAAAGGAGTGAACAAATCTTTACAGTGAGGATCATTCCCACCCCCTTGGTGCACAGGGTTGACAAGGATGGGTAACTTAGACGTTGCTACCCAAAATGGGGAGTGGGGAGGGTACAAAGGCAAGAAGTGACTGGCTTGCAAGCTTTCAGTAGGGAACATAGTTCTAGAGGGTAC